CCCCAGTTGCCGCCCCACCACTGCGGGAACCCCGCGCCCGCCACGCTGCCGCAGCCTTTGCCCTGGATGCTGCCGCCGCCGCCGCCGTAGGACTGTCCCGGGAGCGGGCCCTGGACTACTACGGTCTCTACGACGACCGCGGGCGCCCCTACGGCTACCCAGCCGTGTGTGAGGAGGACCTGATGCCTGAGGACGACCAGCGGGCCACTCGCAATCTCTTCATCGGGAACCTGGACCACAGCGTGTCAGAGGTGGAGCTGCGACGGGCTTTCGAGAAGTACGGCATCATTGAGGAGGTGGTCATCAAGAGACCCGCCCGTGGTCAGGGTGGTGCGTACGCCTTCCTCAAGTTCCAGAACCTGGACATGGCCCATAGGGCTAAGGTGGCCATGTCAGGCCGAGTGATTGGCCGCAACCCCATTAAGATAGGCTATGGCAAGGCTAACCCCACCACACGCCTCTGGGTGGGTGGCCTGGGACCTAACACCTCACTGGCAGCGCTAGCCCGGGAGTTTGACCGCTTTGGGAGCATTCGGACCATTGATCACGTCAAAGGGGATAGCTTTGCCTACATCCAGTATGAGAGCTTGGACGCCGCTCAGGCCGCTTGTGCTAAAATGAGGGGCTTTCCCTTGGGTGGTCCCGACCGCAGGCTGCGTGTGGATTTTGCCAAAGCAGAGGAGACTCGGTATCCCCAGCAGTACCAGCCTTCACCCCTCCCTGTGCATTATGAGCTTCTCCCAGATGGATATACTCGGCACCGAAACCTGGACGCTGATCTGCGGGTGCGGGATAGGACCCCCCCCACACCTCCTGTACTCAGACCGAGACCGGACCTTTTTGGAAGGGGACTGGACCAGCCCCAGTAAAAGCTCTGACCGCCGAAACAGCCTCGAGGGCTACAGCCGCTCAGTGCGCAGCCGGAGTGGTGAGCGCTGGGGAGGAGATGGGGACCGGGGCCTGCCCAAGCCCTGGGAGGAGAGGCGGAAGCGGAGGAGCCTTTCCAGTGATCGCGGAAGGACAACCCACTCCCCTTATGAGGAACGGAGCAGGACCAAGGGTGGTGGGCAGCAGGCGGACCGAGGCTCTGACCGCACCCCTGAGCGCAGCCGCAAGGAAAACCACTCCAGTGAAGGGACCAAGGAATCCGGCAGCAACTCCCTCAGCAACAGCAGACACGGGGCTGAGGAGCGGAGCCACCACCACCACCATGAGGCTCCAGACTCTTCCCACGGGAAGAAGACACGAGAGGGCGAGCGCAATCATCGGACCATTGAGGCTGAGCCCAAGCCTCTCGAAGAGCCAAAACACGAGACCAAAAAGCTCAAGAATCTTTCAGAGTATGCCCAGACACTGCAGCTGGGTTGGAATGGGCTTCTAGTGTTGAAAAACAGCTGCTTCCCGACATCTATGCACATCTTAGAGGGGGACCAAGGGGTTATCAGCGGTCTCCTCAAAGACCACACTTCTGGGAGTAAGCTGACCCAGCTGAAGATTGCCCAGCGCCTTCGACTGGACCAGCCCAAGCTCGACGAGGTCACACGACGCATCAAGCAGGGGAGCCCCAATGGCTACGCAGTGCTCCTAGCCACCCAGGCTTCCCCCAGTGGGCCTGGCACTGAGGGGATGCCCACGGTGGAACCAGGCCTACAGAGGCGGCTTCTCAGGAACCTGGTCTCCTACTTGAAACAGAAGCAGGCTGCAGGGGTGATCAGCCTGCCAGTGGGTGGGTCCAAGGGCAGAGACAGCACAGGCATGCTCTATGCCTTCCCGCCCTGCGACTTTTCTCAGCAGTACCTCCAGTCAGCACTGAGGACATTGGGCAAGTTAGAAGAAGAACACATGGTGATAGTTATAGTAAGAGACACAGCCTAGCCCAAACCTGTCTTTTCCAGCTCCACGTTTGTGTCACAAAAGCAGTTATTTTAAAATCTGAATCATCCGGTGGGTTATTTCAGTTCATTTGGTAGGGGACCAAAGTCCTGTCCCCCACCAAAGCTAAGTTCTTAGGTTTTGGGGGGTTTTTTTTACAGTGATGAGAAGGGACTCCTGTCATGTTGGTTTCTAGTGTACGAGATCCTGTCTGCTGTGTTCTGTATTTTTTTATTTTTTGACTAACTGTATGGAAAGCTGTCAGTAAAGCCTTTGTCAGAGGATGGATTTTTAATCCCGCTCAGCTCCTGGTTTAATCACGTTTTTGTTTTTGTTTTTGTTTTTTGTTTTTTTGCTCAAAGAATGGAAGGCTTTTCCCCGCTACATGCACACAAATGCCCTGTCATCTTTCCACCACTGGCATAGCTCACCGTCCTGCTGCACTAGTCGGTCTCAGCCCTTCAGATCTTTGGGCTGTCAGGACTATGTTCACATTTTTTAATCTTGGCTGAGAGCAGGTGGATTTCAGTCTGCACTCGACCCTGCCTTGCCAACCAGAGGACCCCACGCACAGGAAGGGGTTGAGCCTAAGTCTGTAGCCAGCAGCTGTGGTGGTTACTAGTTTTTGTTTTCCTGCCCCAAACTGTGTGTGTCCATCAAGCCTTTTTGAAGACAAGTAGTCTTTAGCAGTTGTGTGGTCTTGTAGTCATGGGAGGAGCAGTGCAATATTGATGTCAAGGGGTCTTGGTGCCATGGATCCGTGCGGCCTCCTTCTCTCGTTCAGCCTCCCTTCTAGCCTTAATGCAGCAGCCCAGGGATACTCAGTTGGAGACAGAGCTGCCTCAGACTCCCAGGGACACTGGAGACCAAATGCTGGAATGGAGGGTGGGAGGCAGCTTTCCTTGGACTTTTTGTTGAACTTTACCCGGTGTTTGAATTCTGGCTTTTCCTTTGGTTGGTTGGGGGTGACGTGTCAGTGGAGTGGGCCTCTGCCCAGTCTCTAGGGCTTTGTGGGAGACACTGAATCTCTGGGGCCCAAAGAGTTTTTGAGTGAGTACGGCGGGTTCGGAAGAGGCTGCTCTCCCCTGGGCAGGTGAGAGTGTGTGCCGAGGCCACCTGCCCTGCTGTCGAGGTGGGGACCACTGGGGGAGGTGCTTCTGTGGGGAAGCGTTGCATTGCCAAGGTGTTGGGCAGTGCTCGAGCTCAAAACCACTCCAGCTGAGTTGGGGAGGAATGTGGAGTCATCCTCAAGCTGGAAGGGAAAGATGGCTTGAAGGAGTCTTAAGTTCTGTGGCGACCTGTCTCTGCTACGGTAGTGTGGCCAGCGTTGGCAGAAAAAGCCAGCAGTGTCGGGTCAGGAAGGGAAATCAGTCACACAGCAACTGACACCATAGAGCACAGCCCAGACACTATTTCAGGATGTTTGTGGCAGTTCAGATGTTCCAAAAGGATCATTGTCAAGGGTGAGGGAGAACAGAAGCTCCAGTAAGGGAAACAAGTCCCTAAATGACCAGGAACTCTGGGTTCTGTTGACCATGCCATCCCCTGTCTAGGTCTGGTGACTACCCTGGCTGGCACGAGGCAGCACAGGTGACAACTCATGCGGTGGAAGCTGGGGCTCAGTGCGGACTGCGTGCAGAATGCACGCCTCTCCACAAGGACAGTGAGAGGTGTCTTTTCAAGACCTTGGAGATCTAAGGTAAACAAGGGAATGTGCCTGGGGGAAGCGCCGCTCACTGGGCTTCAGCTGGTGTTCACAACTGAGAACAAGCATGTTCGTAACGGAAAACATTAACATAAGGAAGTGTTATGTGCCTGTTTGTACTCGAGCTTTGGCCACAGCTGCCAGGTATCTGAGCACATCAGTGTGGGGCACAGTGGCACCATTCCGGGCAGGAGTGGGCCTCGCCTCGATTAGAGCAGATGAGGTAGGGGGTGTCTTGAAGGCACACTGACAAATGTCATGGGCACAGGTCACAGCCACCTTGCTGTATTTAAGCCTGAAACTTCTCTGGGCTGTTCCTTCATAAAGTGGGTGCTCAGGACCCAGAATAAATACTATGCCTCCTAGCTTTCCCAGACAGAAACCTAGAAAATCTGGTCAGAGAAGACACTTAAACCCTTGCCTTGTTCACCCTTCTTCAGGGATAGGTGCTTTCTGGCCCCAAAATGAACTAGAGTGTTGATGAAGAACCACAGCTACTGTGTGACTATCTCTCTTCCTTGGACCCTCTTCTCAACTCCTTCCTTCCTTCCTTTCGCTCTTAAAGACACAGCAGGTTCTGCGACCATCTCTCAGAAAGGCCTTGACTAGCACTAGGGGGATCAGTCAGGTGGTCAAGGCCCTGGCGGATGTATGACATGCCCCCAGGGAGAGGTTTAGCTGCAGGCACCCAGTGCCTCCACCTGTGGTTCTGGTCCTGTCTGAGGTGTGGCTTTAACGCAAAATTTGCATTGGTGTTCTGCTACTGTTCCACTGTTTCTTCCTGAGTTACTCAGAGCTCAAGCCCTGGCAGAGTAAGAGGGCTGATGTTTCCTTAGTCTCTTAGGGCACTTCCCTAAGGATGTGTTGTCAAGTCGACCAGGATTCTTCTTTCCTGTAGCAGGTCCCCATCTCCACCCAAGAGACCTGTGGGTGCTCCCAGCAGCTGCTGGCAGAGCTCAGGGAGACTGTCTCAGTTGAGTTGATGGCTAGAATATAATGCTTTTAGTACTTCTGGCTTTTAGCCTGTTTTCTTCTAATGCACCAGCAGGTGTTAGCAACCCCTTTAAGCTAAGGCCTCTGCTCTCTGGAGGACCAAGAGGTGCCTGAGTGACACAGGCCCACTTCCGCATGTGTCATACATGCACAGTGCTCTCTGAAGCCCAGCAGGGCTTTACTGGCCCCTGATGAGTTTAGCTGTCTTGTCTTGGTTGTTTACTTCACAAGTTTGTCCTCTTTTCTCAGCAGAGGGAGAAAAATCTCTTTAGCTACATCATACCTGTAAGATAGAAACTGGGCAAACTCAGACTACGTTCTATTTATTGTGGGAAAGGTGGGGGTGGGGTGAGTGAAAAGGTAAGAGCACCTGGTCCTTTCCCTGGTGGTGGCACAGCTGAACCACAGGCCAGTTTTCAAGGCCTGTGAAGTACCTGCAAACCCAGCCCGCCCAAGCCCCACAAACTGCCAAAACTGAAGAAGTGCCCGGGTCTACTGTTGTAGTCCCTTAAAGGTACGGTAATGACAGTCACCCCACTACAGGGATGGCCAAAATGCTTTCACTCCTTAGCTTTGCCAACTCATTGCTCCAAAACTTCCCAGGACCCCTACCTTTCCAGCTCCACCAAATCTGTACTCCGGAGCTGCCTTCTTGATTCAGAACCCAGGATAGAGAGATGAGGTGTGCACACAGTGAACGATGCCCCGAGCACCTCCCTCAACCCCATGCCTGGTCCTTCTCCGGGGGAGAGCGGCAGGCCAGGGTGAGGCACTGTAACTAAGCTGCTTTTCTCCCCAGAGCGCTTTATTTGGGCAGAATGTGTTCTCACCACCGTGCTGGACTGCCTCTCCTAGAAGGCGTCCTCTCTATTGCCTGGCTAGCGCTGCAAGGAAAGGGACAGACCCCCACTTTGGTAAGAGAACAGGGAAAGGCCATAAACAAAGACAGACTTGTAGTTTATTTTGTATTTTTTTTAAATAAATACACTTTACATTAAAGAAAAAGGCCTTTGATTTGTAATTTCCACATTGGGGAGAAAGGGAAGAAAAAAAGATTTTTGAAAAACTGAATCACAAAGAAAAATAGAGGGAGTGAACTTATATCCTAAGTTCCCTCAACTCCACAAAAACCAATATCCACAACGACCTTGCTGCCCCCAAACTGAGAAGGTGGGTGAACCTAGGCATTTATTCAGCAAACAAGCAGTGCCTTCCTCCCCACCTCTGGCACCTCTGGAAGGAAAACAAATTATCCTGACAGCATATGAGGCAACAAAACAGGTTAAAAAATCATATATTATATTTATAATAAAATATTCTTAATCCTTATCAATTTAAGAAACCACGATTTTCCTTTTCATTTAAATATGTATGTAAAAATGCCTCTATATTGTTCTTTAGACATCATTTTCTTCCACAGAAAATGAAGTGCAGGGACAAGAGACCTGGTGGATATAAGTTCATACCCTCAGTTATAAATGCCTTTTTTTTTTCTTTTTAAGTTTTATAAAAAACTATTTCTTGTTCTTTAAGTAAAGAACATTATACAAAGAAAATATATTGTGAAATAACCCCAGAGACATGTTTTTTTTCCCTTGAGGAAAGATATGTCCATCCTAGGAGAAGGGGGAAGCAGAATAGGGCCTAACCCCTGCTGTCTTTTTTTTTGTGGTTGTTATTGTTTTTAGAAGGACCCTCAAGATTCCAGTGAGACTCTCTAAGCTATAATCCTCTGAATGCAGGGCATGCAGTTCCTTAAAAGAGCCCTGGGAGAAGGGGAAGGGAAGATGTTCTGAATTCATTTGACTCAGTTTCTCGCCTGCCAAGAATCTCTTCCACGTGGTGATGGCTCCTCACTCATTTAGAGATAGAATGATGTCATCTTCCAAATCAGAGTTGTCAGAGCTGTCGGCTGAAAGGTAAGAAAAGGGAGAGACTAGATTATGCACTAGGCTTACAGGAAGCTTTCTGAAGAAGGCAGCACCTACATACACATACATTTATGCCTGAGCAAGGTTAATTACCAGTTTCCAGAAAGAAAACACATCAATTAACTCCTTGGAGCTGGCTCTGGAGAATATACTGTTTTGGTGATGGTGGTTCCCCTGGGACCTCTCGCTTGCTTACCTTTCAGAGGGCCTGGACATGGTGCCCTCTGCTTCCTAGAGGTTCTTCCTCCTGCCTGGAAGGCCCTAAAGGGACCAGGCAAGCCCGCGCTAAAGCTTTCACTCATGGTGCTTTGGCTGCAGCGGGGTTGAGGGCTGCACTGAGTGAGCCCATGTAGTCCTTTGGCCTCCAGAGTCCTTCAGGGGTGAGCACAGGCCTGCCTGACCCCTAAGACCACTAAAAAGACAGGCTGGCCCTGAGCAAAGATGAAAGTTCTCTTAAACTCCTCCACCACTCTGTTCTCAGAAGACCTCATAAAGGCAGAGATACTCAACCCAGGATTCATTCCTCTGCAATTTCTGAATATAATCTGCAAGGAACAAATTCCCCAGAAGGTACAGGCCAGCATGCAGCAATACCAGAGAGGGAGTGCCTAGGAACACAGGGCTGGAAGCCAGCAGTGGGTAGCTGTGACACCCTGGAAGGTGGCACTGTGTCTCTGGTACACAAGGAATCTTCTGCTTGACCCTCTGCCTTCCAGGCAGTGAAGAGACCACATGAACACCTGGAAGGATCCATTAAGGGGTGACACTAAGCAGTAACAGAAAGAACCCTCAAAATGAGGTAGATACATCTAGCTGATGATGGAAATCGGACAGAAACATAGGAGCTAGCTCTAGTATTTGTTGAGCGAAGGTAAAGGGAAGGTCTCAGTGCCCATTTGGATCACTCAGCTCAGGAAACTGAACAATTTTAACAAGGTCCCCAGGGAAGTGGGAAGACATCCTGAGCTGGAGCCCTGCAAATGCCCACAGGCTCTGAGGTTCCTCTGTGGAGAGGGACAGCCAGTGGTTCCAAAGAAACCCTCATCAGCCCTTTCCCAGATAACCTGAGAGACTCCACTCGAGGAAAGCTGAGGAAGAACTGCGTGTTCCCAAACCTTCATTCACTACAATCTCCTTTAGGAAGAAAACTGGAAGTGGATAAAGTAAAACTAAGGAAAGTAGGGCTGTGATTTAAAAGAAAAAAAAAGTCCTGAAAGTAAGCAAAAGAGTTGGCTGGGATAGAAAAAAATTTAAACAAAAAGAAAACAGAAAAAAAAAAAAAGATGGCTGGGAATAAAAAACCAGTGTTCCCTGGGTCTAAAGGATGCAAGCACGGCCTGACTTCACAGTGAGGAGTGGGGAAAACAGGACAGAGATCAAACTAATACCTGACACAGCCAAACCACAAACTAGGCCTTGTCGGCTTCCTTACTGAAGGACCTCCAGGAGGAAGTGCCAGCACGGAAGGGGGAGAAGCAGAGGCAGCACCGTGTCCCGGCCCACGGGATTGGGAAGAATCCCCCGGTGCTCATGCGACCTATGAACCGACAATGCAAGCCCCACCTGCCTAACAGTATCTAACCGTCAGGCGTAGAGCCACTAAGAATTAAGAGTCTTCACAGCTGCATCTCATCTAAGGACTAAATGCAGCCAAAGGAGAACACCACCACAATCATCTTTAAGCAAATAACCGTCAGGCACAGGATTAACAGAACCCTCGGTCAGGCACCGACTCCCCTCCTGGTGGTCAGGTGGCAGGTCACTCTCTCTACCTTCTTTAGCCTTCTCTCATCCTCCAAATGCTGAAGAGACCCAACCCCGGACTCTGGTCGGGACCTCTCCCTCTGAAAGGCCCTGGAGGCAACGGCAGTTGATGTTACAGTCAGTCCCTGCAATGTGCAACCTCTTGCTCTACAACATACAGGCTTTTCAAAGGAGGGCAGAGCAGACAAACACAAAGACCTCAGTGTCAAGGTATTTCTCTTCTGAGGGCCGGGGTTTTGCATCTGAAATCTATCACTGGGTCTCTGTGGGATCCAAGGCTTACGCCAGGTTAAGTGTGGGGCACATGGGTGTGGTTTTCTATAGTCAACAGTGGCTTTTATCACACACTAAAGGGGCTCCATAAGCCCCAAAAGCTTAAGAGCTAACGCTCTAGATGATTAGTGTGAGGCAGGTGGTAAACCCAGGGTACAGAGGCTGCCGCCGTCTGCTCTGCTGTGAGCCGCTGTCGGTCTCTACAGGTAAGGAGCAGTGGAGGACGCACGCTGCCACCTCGGCGTCGCCACCTCAGTTCTAGCCCCCAAGCTGCCATGTCCTCACACTGTCACCTACAATGGCATTTTCACATAAATATTCCCACCAAGTTAAAGTAACATTCTTACTGCTGACTGACAGAAATGAGAGTTCTCCACATTACCTCTTGGGCTTGAAAGAAGGCATGTCCTAGACTAAACAGTTAAAGGCTGAAGGAGGCAGTAATGCTACAGGCCAAATACAAACTTAGTGGTTTTATATTCAAATTGAGAATGGAAAAAATCAGTGATACTCTTAGGTCAGGGGTACCAGCTGCTTCCCTAACCTACTTTATTACTTGTAATTGAAGGGAAACAGAACTTGTGCCCCACATCACAGATGACAAGAAAGTTCACTAAAACTTGCCCTTTTATTCCCATCAATACTGTCAAGTGTCCCTTGCCCCTTAGTCCCTCTTACCTGGCTCTCTGACCATGGCCAGGGGCAAGGCAAGTCCTCCTCCACTGAATCACCTCAACCTCCAAGTATGAAAAAATGGAAGTTGGCAAACAGCAGATGGGGCAGATATAAGGAACTCCTACCCAGCCCCACAGAGCTTCCTCAAAATACAACTTCGGCAAGAAAGACAGTCTCCCCTAAGCCAACTGCCTTCAATCTTTGAGCACTAGAATGATGTATAAGGTTCATCCCAAAGAAAATGGATTCAGGTCACTGGGGACTAGGAGAATCTCTTAAATATGTGCTTAAATATATACAGCTAACTGCCCTCTCCTCCTACCACACACACTCCCATCCCAGCCCTCCCCTCTGCCACGAAACAAGCAATTACAAAAACCAAGCATCTACTCTGAAGAGGCCTGGTGTGTACTTTGCCTAGGCCAGCACAATGAAACTGTACCTGTGCTGTTCAGTGTGGTAGCCACGTGTCACTACTGAGCACTTGAAATGTGGACATGAAAATGAGGAAATGAACTTTTAACTGAATTAAAATTTTAATGGCCACAGGTAGGTAGTGGCTACCATGTTATGCGTAACACCTCCCGTGGCTGTGAGAACGCTAGCCAGGTTAGCTACATGAAAAATGGGTGGTCATCACAGGGAGGGCTCCCCCGTCAGGCAGGGCAGCGCTAGGAAGAACCAGAGCCACAGCAAGCAGGAATCTGTCAGCAGTGCCACATGTCACAGTGATGAGGCCAAATCTGCCCTCAAACAGAGCACAGCGCAGAGCTTGCAGGCTCTTAGAACTGCCAGCTGGTTTACCCAGGACCCGTTAGTAAAGTCAGAAAGCTTGACTTCAGAAAGCTGTTCTAATGGGAAAGTACTAGAAAAATTGGAGCTTGTTCTTCATAACTTGGAACAAGAAAGGGGGGAAAAAGGAACAATACAGAAGCCAAAGAAAAACATTTGTCCCCTGGTCCTTAAGAGGGATTAGGCAAAAGCAGACAGGAAAGGGCTCTCCACAAGAGCGCTGTTATTTCTTTATAACTTTAGAAAGGAGAAGGTAGAGAACCCCCACGAGCAGCTGTGTCTGACGATGTCTGATGTTCTGCCTCTTGGGAGAATGACACTGTGGCCTTTTATTCTAAGGCTAATCCTCTGAAGCAGGGGTCGACAAACTATAGTCTGGGCCAAACAAAACCTGCCACCTATTTTTGTAAATAGAATTTTATTAGAACACAGCCACATCATTAATTTATGTCTTGTTTCTGGCTGCTCTCACACAACAGCAGAGCTGAGGAGCTGCAACACAAAACCAAAAATATTTACTGTCCAGCCTTTATAAAAGAAGTTTGTCAACCCCTGTTTTAAAGATAAAAGATAACAGCTATTTGGTTACACAGTCGTCATGACAGGAGTGCAGAGGATCAGAGATGTGAAACTGCTCTTCCTCGTAGGGCACAGAGCCCCGGCGCGGCTTGCCCTCTGGGCTGGGCTGGCATAGGGAAGGGACCTTTCCCTGGGTACCAAGGCTCAGCCTCACGATCAGCCCTAGACTTACTGTCCCCCAGGATCAGTTCCACTTCCTCGTCTGCATCAGAGTCTTCATCCTCCCCGTCCTCTCCCTCCTCTAGCAGGTTTGCTAGTTCCTCGTCAGAGGGAGAAAAGTCATTGTCCCCATCCTCCCCTGCATTCTCGTTGTTGTCATCCTCCTCCAACTCCGCCTCCAGCAACTGGTCAGTGTCAAGCTCATCTAGATCATCAGTGTCGTCGTCATCTTCATCATCATCTTCTTCCTCCTGTTCTTCCTCTTCCTGGTAAGAGAGCATGAGGCCCATTAGGACAAACACAGGCCCAGCCCATGTAGGCCACATGGGGAGTCTCTCCCTCCTTCCCAAAGGGGAGGAAACTGTCAGCAGAGTGGTGATCTAGCTTAGCACCGACTTCATGGGCCAGCTAGTCGTGTCAATAAAGGGTAAGACAGGCATATACATGACCCCAAGACACTCAGAGCATTCCTCAGACAAGGATTACCGGTCACTCCACAAAGGCATTACCGGTCACGCGGCCCTCATCCAAGGAAACAGACAACTCATTTCACAGAAGTCTCTGCCATCAATATTCTGTGTTCCTAACTAATGAATAATGAACCTAAAAGGGCTCCTTCTCTCCTGCATCAACCAAACCAAATGAAATCAGTTGAGGCACTGGAACAAAAGCTTCCACCTGGGATCTAAAAACAAATGCTTTAAGACAACAGAGGAAGCGGAGTGGTAGAGTGCACGCTTCACATGCACGAGGCCATGGGTTCAATCCCCAATACCTCCGTTAACTGAAAAGAGAAAAGAAAGAACACAGCTGCTGAGTCATCAAATTCTTGTCCTTGCATGGATGTCAGTAAGCCCCTAACAGTGCTATCACAAGCGTCCAGTGATCTGTACGTCCAACAGAATAGACTTTTACAATATAGAACACTAACGTAAGACACACAAAGTATGCCAGAGAAACTGTCCATCCTTCCATTCTTAATAGATCTTCCCAAAGGCAGGAAAACTTACTAGAAAACTAATGAAATACTTGGCTCTGGGTACCCTAGGCTTTGCAAATGATATTTTGGCATCCGCCAGATTTCAATTTTGCACTAAAATCCAAACTGTTTCCCTGCAAGCAAGAGAGGACACAAAGACACCTCTGCTTTGATAAGGATGACAAGTGTTCCCAAGTAAATGTGACCAATCCTTCTGCTCAAACATCAACTATCAGCACTGCCAGGAGCAAAATTATTCTAATTTCTGCAATAATAAAATATAAAATGCGTTTAACACATGAGCCTAATGAAAGCCAATACAGAACAAGCCCTACATAAGCAGAAGAAATATTTTTAAAACATTTTTTAAAGTGCTGCTGCATGCCAGTCACTTAAAAACCAAACAGCCCATGCTTATCCAGCCACTGGTGCTCACTAGCTGTGAAGCAAACGAGGCTCACAGTCAGCAGAGCAGCTCTGCTTTATGAACTTTTGGTAATTTGGAACCACCATTTAGAGACTTTTTGATACACTGTTTGATCCACTGATTTAGACTTTTCAACAATTTCTGGCAGCTATGTAGAAAAACTGACCCCGTTAAATACCCACTAATCCTAATGCCTGTGCAAATATGTGTATGGTCTATACCAGAGTGGGTGTGTGCTGTGTGTACACGCACACCCGTGATGACCTGAGAGCAATGTTCCACAGCCTTGCCACACGTCACCTCCATGGGGACGGCTGCTAAGCACTCGCCCACTGGAAAGGAACTAAGACTGCTTGGAGGCAGTAAAAATGAGCTGAGGCACAGACAAGCTTCTGGCCCCTACAAGCACATCAGCTCATACAAATAACTGGGAACGGAGAGAGGGATCAAAATTTAAGGAAGTAATTCAAAGCGTTTACCAGATTACAACTTTTGCCTCTTTTTTCCAGGCACATTTTCATGGCCTTGACCAAAATTAGTTCTAATCCATGAATAAAGGTACCACAGTTAAAACAAGCACATGAAGGAAGAGATTCCCCAGGGCCCTGTGTTTCCTGAGCCTCTGTGGAAGAGAGTAATTACATTTAAAACTGAAGACAGTGTTAACTGTTTTCCTTTTGAAGTTAATTTAACATTCATCACTGTTGTCAGAGTCCAGGCCAGGAGAAAATGCTCGGGCTTTGGGATCCAACAAGCCTGGGTTACAATCTTGGCTCTGCTAAGTACGTGTTGTGTGAACTTGGGCAATTTACATAAATTTTCAGTGTCTAAGGATAGCGTAACTTTGAAAAGCCCACAGCTGAGTGGTATGTAAAAGGTTAAGCTGTTCAAATAAGCAAATTTAAGGAAGATCAATCTTCATTTCTGAAAATATCAAAAGCTTAGCTGACCCAGGAGAACTGAGGAAAAGCTCCCAAATCAAGAGCAATCCTTGAAAATAGGTCAACCAAGGTCTAAGCTTTGAACTACAGACACCATTCCAAATTCTTCCAAGAATCTACAAACCCAACCTTTACTCCATCTTGTAGAAATAGTCTATATTTATTCATCCCAGAAGGCCATGAGGACATATGTGATCATCACAGGAGAAGGGAAATGAATACGAAGGGGGAGATCTACCTGAATTTCAAATAAAACACATCACTTCATCATTTATACTCTGTATTTAATGACCAATGGTTTAACATGTATTTTGTTACACATGAATATGGCCATAAACTCACTTTCCTAATTTTAAATCTGAAACCTGGATCATAAAACAGAGGCTCACAAGATATGTCCAAAATGCTTTGGTAGAATCTAATCCTGTGGCTGAACCCCAAAATAGTCTAGGAAGCAATTTTAAGAGCATTTTTTGCAGGTTTAAGTACTGGTTGGTAACATGAGCCTCTCTTCTTCCTATCTAGACAATAAAACTTCCAGTGATGAGTGGTCAAAAAAGTGATCCAAAAAACTTAAAAGGATTATTTAATGAAAAAAGCAAATTTTGCTAGAATCCTGACTCAACTCCATTAACACTTAGATGAGGTTTTGGACCTAGAAATATCATTTTTTTAATTCTCTAAGACTGCTATTTTAGGGCTTAGAAACAGAGGAGTTTAGGGCCAGGCTGTTTTAAACTACTAATAAATTTTCCTAAACAAAGAATTCCAAAACTCTTCCCTTCTCGGTTCCACCTTAAGTCTATTTCATGGTTACCGAAAGGCCAAACCCATGCAGATAAACCAACCCATTCCCCTCCTGTATAGAGACCAGGTCAAGTGACAGGAGCTCACTCAGTTGCCCTCTGCTCCCCTCTCCACATCTAAACCTGACTTGAACCCTAGTCTGAGGAAGAAGCAAGACTTCCACTCCCACTCTGGACCTCAGTCTGTCCCAGGACCTTATAACACAGCTGCATCTCTCTTATCCTCACTCCCTCACACTTGTCTCCACTGGCTTCTCACCTTCTCTGAAGATTTAGCTTCTCCAAACCTAACAACGTCTCAATTTACACAGGTTTCAAACTCATTCCATCTATGGACTTTTGAAAAAGGTGACCTGAATGCTATGCCTGGCCTCCACGTACTCGGCTGCCACTTGCTCTCTCATCTACTCACTCAGTCCTCTCTTCCTTTAACTCTCAACAGTCCAGCTCCTGCCCACACCCCTCCACAGTGCAGCAGTTAACGGTGTGTGCTCTGGAGCCAGACTCTCTGCAGAATCCAAACTCTACAGACACTACAATTGACTGTGAGGCAACAGACTTAGTAGCCTCATAAGGTTGTTATTAGGATTTACGGGGGAAAAATGTATGCATGTATGTATATAATCTCTTTGGAAAGTGCCTGACTCATAAGAAGTGACCAGTTAGTCTGTTGTTCTGTTATAATAACTAAAACCTTCCTAAAGGAATACGAAGGCCTGAATGGCCAACCACGGAGCTTCTCTACAGTGACTGACTGACCAATCCTGGCCTCCACACCAGGATGCTGATCTTTACCTGGTCCCTTCGAGATTTCCTAGGCACAGAGGTTCCTACAACTTAAAATTTATTTCTGCCTTCACATCTCCTCCAGTTCATAAATCCTTAAGTCTCATTAGAAAGCTCTCCTCATCCGTACTTTACCACAGAAATTTAAAATCCCTTAATGCTAAAACTGAATGAAAAGCACCCCTAAACCTAGCACCTTTCCACACTTTGCCCAGTTACCAGGTGAAAATCTCAAGCACCTTTCGCTTCTCCCACTTCTGTGGCTTCACATCCAGTTAACTACTACCTCCCAAAGACCTGGGGCGCCGTACTCCCTCGCACTGCACTCACCACCTGCCTCCGCTCCCCTCCTGTCCATCCGCAGTCTCTCCAGCCCTCACGGTCTTATCCCTCCCCACATCAAAAACCTCAGGAGCTCCAAAACGCTGCCCATGTTACAGAATGACAACAGAAGCAAAGACTATTTACTAAACATCTATTTAATGCTAACCTCTCTAAAATCTCAACTGCTTGTTAAAGGAGATGATTTAATTAAATGAGTGGCTCCTACTCAGAATCACCTGAGAAAGCTTTCTAAAATACACATGCCTCAATCTCACCCAGGGTCCAGGCCGATGGAACCAATCTTTACAAATGAAGCTCCCAGAAGCCACCCTGTGCCCAGCAAGTCTGCCCGTGCTATTTTCCAACAGCATTTGCTTACTTCATGTCTCATGTCACATTTTGTAATTCTCACAATGTCTAACTTTTTCATTATTATAATATTTGTCAGCAGTGATCTTTGATGACTCATTGTAAGCTCACATGATGGTTAGCACTTTTTCAGCAATATTTTTAAATTAAGGTATATACATTTTTTTAGACATAATGCACACCTAGACCACAACACAGTGTAAACATGACTTTTATATGCACTGGGAAACCAAACAAAATTCTTATGACTCACTTTACTGCAATATCCACTTTCATGCAGTGGTCTGGAACTGAACCCACATTATCTCCAAGGTATTCCTGTGTTAAGTACTATGATTGACCTTCCCTCCTATATCAAAATGCCTTGCTCTCTAGGAGTTAATTTGATTTTTTAAATTAGTGCAGCATTTGTTTCTAGACCATTCGACATTCTTCTTGAATACATGTCTATTTTTCAAGAGAAATAGCTTTTAGCGTATACTGCCTTCAAAAATATAACCAATCTTTTGGAAAGCCAAACCTCTGGTCACACTTTAAGAACGGTTAATCTAAAAACCAGGATAGCTTTTTTAAAAATGCAATTAAAACCAAAGCCTACTGTCTTGACATTTCACCACGTCATATCTGCGAAATT